TGTTTTGTAGTTTATAATAGTGGTGAATTTTTCTTGGACCTAGAACTCCTGGCCAGCCCAATACTTTCTCTATGGTTTTATCTTCTGTGTCTGGGCATTGTCTTTATCGATGCTCAGGTTGGTTGACTGGGACTTTTGCTTCTCCATTTCAAATAGAAACAAATTATAGAGTTAACAGAGTCAGAAAATAACCTTGGCAGTTGCATGAAATCCACTGGCATGGGGTTATTCAAGGGCACCTACAGAACCATCTGAGCCATGTGGGGCACAGTGTCTATGTGTTCATCATTGACCATTTCCAGGGACATTTTTAAATGGATGATCACTTGGTAATTATAGTTTCTGAATACTTTTCAATTCTATCAAAAAAGCTTTTGATGTATGTTGCTCTTCACACTAAAAATATGATGTAAAACTGGTGATATCTATATAGATATATAAATATATAGATATCTATAGATACATAAATTTTTGGTATCAGGGATCCAACTCATGACCTCACACCTGCCAAGCAGGAACTTATGCTGCTGAGCTAAATCCCCAGTCCTGGTGCTCAATTTTTAACTGAACATTAATTCATTTACAAAACTATGGAAAAGAAATATAAGCAGTTGTTTCTAACTCAGGACAGTTAATCAGATTTAAACCTCATTTCACAGTTGAAATATTAGGATACATTATTTAACAGTAAACTTAGCACCTGAGAATGTGTTTCCTGAAACCTCCAGCTATAGTATCTTTTAGGTTAACACTACTTTCACCCAGTGTCTTGTGGATAAATCAATATTCATCTGAGAAAATACACAGCACATCTTCCATGCCAAAAGAAGAAATCAAAAGATAAAATGTATGAATTTCATTAGCAATTTTACCGTACTGTGAGAAAAAAAAAACAAGAAGTTGTTGCTTTATCCTAAGCTGAGTCTTATGTAGATATATACAATCATGCCACACTAATATTCAGGCTGCTTGTGACATTATGGGAGGAGAAAGTGCGAGAATATTGTAAGGTAGAAATAGGACATTGAGCAAATTGTCCCTGGATACCTCAGTAGCTGTTACAGTTTTAAGGGACTTTAAATATTTAATGTGTACAAAGAGCCTCATAGGGAATTTATGCATCAAGTGTAAACCATTCCTTTGTAACATTATTGACATAATCAGTTGACCAAATGAGATGTGAATTTTAGAGCTTGCTTTCACTTCCTATCCTAATGCTGTACGTCCATCTCCCTGGGAAACTATGCCTATGCCATCCTTTCTCCCCCAGTCTTTCTGCTCCATTCATCACAATTGTCTTTCACATATGGACACAGCTTTATTTTGACTTAGAAAGTCACTGCTGTGCTAGCAAGTAACACCAGGAGGAAGTCAGCTCAACCCAAAAGCAAAATTAGACAGAAATAGATGATAGTTTACCTATCATCAGCCCTACTTTCTAGCTCTGAGGATCTTTCCTTACATTGTTCACTTCTGCTGCTCATACTTAGAATTTTTAACCTCCTAGATTTTTGTTTGATAGTTTTTTGCAGAGTATACTTGTTTACAAAACTGGTCACTCATGTTTTGTATTATTTTCTTATTTTCACCAGCCATTTTGCTTTTGTGTCCATTACCTGTTTAGTTATATCACCTTTGAGTTCACTGAGCACCATATCAACCTGGTTTTTGTGTGTGTACTTTATTATTTCATTTAATTTAGATGCTTGGATTTTTATTTTCTTCCCATTAATTCCACAAAGATCAGATTTGCAGATGTTGGAAATTTGTGTAAGCATTTTGTTGTTATCTTCATGTTTTATTTATGTGTGTTTCTATCTGCATATGTGTGTGTGTGAGGTTTGCAGATTCATTTTAATGGAAACAAATTTTCTACTGTGGAGATCTCTTTAGTGAGTGTCTCCTTTTCTATTGTGAACTGTAGACATGGCTAACTATTGTTCTTTGCCTCTGTCCCAAATTCTAACCATCTTTGTTAATTTGGGTGGGGAGGTTGAAACATAATTGGTCCAGTGTCAAGTTCTCTGAAAATGAGCAAGTATTGGTGACAAAGACAAACTAGATATTATTATGCAGTGAAAAACAATTAATAGGAATAATTATGCCCCCTTGACAATAGAACAAAATCAAAAACAATAATACAGTCATTTCAGACTGAATACAGACATATTACAAAAAAGAAAAAAACCTAGAAGCTACCACTGTAGCATCCAATCATAGAAAAGATATTTGTAACTATAATTTAGATACAAAGATAAACCAAATAGTTACATAGAGTAAATATCTACTAATGCACCCACTGTGCCATCATTTGGAGTAGAAAAGAATCCAACAATAATATATGGTTAACTAAATATCTAAACATTGATAAAAACTTAATTTATATTAAATATATAAATTTTAATAAAGCTAGGAAAATGGAGTAGTGGTGAATGGGAAAGTGAAAGAAGAGAAATTACAAATAATGAAGTGAAAAAGAAGGAAGGTAGAAAAGTAATGAAAAGGGTCCTATTTCAGAAATAAAGAAAATTAAAGGAATTAGATAAATTAACAGAAAAGAACACAACTGAAAGAAAGAAAATTAGGGAATAAAGTAAAAACAAACAAAAAAAAGCTAAAAACACAGAATCACCAAATTCAATGAAGAAACAAGAAAGAAGTCCCTGAAAATATTCCTATATGTCTTTGAACGGGCATTTTCTTTTCCAGGGTCTGAGGCACTGGAATTCCCCAGATATCTAGGCAGGACAGTAGGTCAGCACAAAGCCTTATTTTGTTTCCATACTCAGGTTTTGTGTATGCATCCTGAGATCTGCCTGCCTTTCCCAGCGGGTGTGGCTGGTCAGTGTTCCACCCTAGTACCATAGTCACACTAGCCGGTCCAGTTTCCATGGCTCTGTGCATACCCCAGATCATGGCTTTCTCTGCTAGATTTAGGACCCCTAGGTTTGTGGTTTAACATGTTCCCCGCCTCCAGGGTCCCTAGAGTCCATAGAGTTCAGGCTGTGGAACTGATCCAAGCCAAGCCATGTTCATGCTCATGTTGGCAGATGGGGAAAGGAAACATCACTGAGTTCTGCAATGGATATAAGAGGTGGGACTAAAATTTGAGCAGACCTGTGGGCTTAATGAAAGCACTTCCAGATTCAGTCCCATCTGAAAGCCTTACTTGATTGGCCTAGCTCCTCACAGTTTATGGATGCCGTCCCTAGTCTGAAGGTAAAATTCTCAGGAGAGGGAGGCTTATATCTAGCTTGTGACTTCTCCATGACTGTCCCTTGCGACCATCACCCACACAGCCACTCTGGAATAGTGATACCAGTAACTCTCAAGTATAAGATCTGGAGTTGTTCTGTAGCTCAGTCTTAATTAACACTTCCCAGAATAACTCCTAATTAAATGCTATCAAATATGGTAGCATTGCACTGGGTTTCTTCTCCAATTTTAGCCTCCCTTGTACATGGAGTCACCTTCAGAGTAAAACTTCACTCGTCTTTTTCAGTTTACACCTGTTGTGAGTTTTTCTTGGGACTATATCTGCTCGCTATGTCTGTAGTTTTGCTCCAACATTGGAACCCTCTCTAGGCTTAATGTGTGTGATCAGGACTGGTTCCCCTACTCTTCATCCAGGAGCAGCTTTCCAGATTATTTTGTTTTTCTTTCCACATGGTACTCCTTTACCCATGCTTCTCTGTAGTGTCAAGTTTTCCTATCACTTCCATTCCAATTCCCAGTACTGTACTTCTTCTTTTCAGCAAATAGTTTTCCAGGTATTTTAGTTCCAGGTTGCAGAGAGATCATATTTTGCTGCTGGTCTCTATTCTATCAACTTTAATTCTCCAAAAGGATCCTCTTGATATCATCTTGATTCCCTATTCAAGAGTCCTCCATGCTCACTTTCTATAGGGCTTCGGCTGAGCTTTCTTTTCTATCCTCCACCTAAAACAGGTCATACTATCTCTTTGACCAAATGTCCTCTATCTTTCACAAAGCCATCAGTTTTCCTCCTGTAAGGTCAACAATGTGTGGGGCTTAGAGCTATAAGCAACACTCATGTGGAGTCAGAGCTGATGTAAATGATGGTTTGGGGACAGAGTATTGTGCTGGCATAAGATTCTCTGCTGTTTGGGAAAGCAGTAGAAAAGTCTGAATTTCACCATCCTCTACTTTGAAATTTTTCAGACATCAAATGCTGGGAACTAAATCTTTAACTCATGGCCTTTGGGAACATTTCAGATTCAAGTTATAGAACTGGATGACTGTGAGAATGAGGCCACCTCATGTAGGGCTCAATGAAGACCTAATCCTGGGCACTATACATTGTATATTTGTGAAATCACAATAATGAGCACTGACTCTCTTGATAGTCCAAGCATATCTGTGTAAAGTTTTCTTTTCCTTATCAGGAATAAAACAGTCTTCTCTAGTGAGATTCAAAATCTAAAATACCTCAAAACTGTCTCAAACTATTAATATTGCCTTAATGTGTGAATTGGAAAAGTAACAACACTGAGTAGGGGAGATGCTAATACAAACTCAGAAAGATGCAGTCGCCTAAATACAGCATTAGTAAGTGCTCAGTTACATATAACCACCCAGAGCATTAGCATCATGAAGAGAAAACTGTCATGGCTCTATTTTCAGGGTCATGCAGATGCTCGTCTTCAAATGATAGTGCAGCTTTCACTAAGTTCAACTCCTCCAGCATTACCTCTGTGACCCAATGCATTACGCATTTCTAAAACTGAGACCCCAATTCACATTGAGCTTCCAAGGAGTCAGAGCAATTAAGTGGAATTTAGAAGTTGAAATCATTTGTAAAACATCACAGAATTGGGTAATACAAAGGGATGCAAAAAATTTAAATTGAAATGTGCTTAGACATCTTATTATGTGAGCATTTTGGAAGATCCTAGGGACATAAGAGCCAAATTTTCTGTCCAACCTGTATTTTTCTCATTTTGTTGCACTCTAGAGACTCTCACTCAAAGTCCATGACATCAGCATATACGTTGTTTCCCATTTATGAGATGCCTCAGAGCTGCCTTCATTTCCATGTTCCTCAAACTGTAGATGAAGGGGTTCATCACTTGAGGGATCACAATGTACATCACTGAAGCTACTGCATTCTTAGTGGAAGAGTCAGTGAATGTAGCACTCAAGTACACACCAAACGCTGTCCCATAGAAAAAGGAAACAACATAAAGGTGAGACCCACAGGTGGAAAAAGCTTTATACCTTCCCCCAACTGATGGCATTTTCAAAATACAGAAGATGATTTTAATATAAGAGAAAATAATACCAATGAGAGGAACACCAAAAAATGTGTTTCCTGCTGAATATATCAGCATGGCATTGACAAAGGTATCAGAACAGGCCATCTTGATGATCTGAGCGAGTTCACAGAAGAAGTGTGGAATTTCCACATTTGTGCAAAAGGACAGTGGCAATGCTGCCAGACTGTGGAGTAGACCATGCACGATACTCATGAACAGAGAGAGTAGAACCAGCAAGACACAGAGACAAGGGTGCATGATGACCGTGTATCTTAGGGGATGACAAATAGCCACATAGCGGTCATAAGCCATTACCACAAGGAGACAATTTTCTAAACAACCAAAGACTAATACAAAACAAAGCTGAGAGAAGCATCCTGTGTAACTGATTCGCTGATCCTGCATTTGTATGTTTACTAGCATCTTTGGGATTGTGCTGGTGCTTATACAGATATCGGTGAGGGACAAGTTGAATAGGAAGAAGTACATGGGGGTGTTGAGGTGGGAGTCAGAGCTGATTGCCAGGATGATGAGGAGGTTTCCCAGGATGGTGACCAGGTAGATTACCAGGAATAGGCTGAAGATGAGCGGCTGCAGTTCTGGATCATCTGTCAGTCCCAGGAGAAGAAATTCAGAGACAAATGTTTGGTTTTTGAATTTCATGCTGTTGATGAATTATAGAAAAGATGAGGAGGGAATAAAATGAAACCAATGGTTTATAGATGAGCAGTAGACTTGCCTGAAAATGATATAAATGAAAATTCTTGATTCCACTATGGGTGTCTGTTGAATACATTCTGAGAATGAAGATAAGCATTCCATGTTTAGGACATTTGACATGAATTTAATATTTCAAGTTGTTTCTAACAGTGCATTAAAACAAAGAAAAAGTAAGAATTCACATTCAAAACCCACAAAAATATGTGGATCTTTTTCTGCTCCCTTTCTTCCTCTATTTTTCTTCTCCCTTCTCTTATTTTCCTTTTATCCCATTTTGCTTTAAAACAACTTCCAGCACTTAACCAGAGATTTTTTCCATAGCTTTATTTAGCCTATGTCAGTTATAGTTCAAGAGTAATATAAATTCTAAGGAGCTTCTGATTCAGCTTAGGGGAACCACACCTTCCAAACTTTTCCAAAAATCTGTGACACAGACCCTACTCATATTTTAGAATCACCCAATTATGACCAAGCTCAACCTGGCACCACCTAAATCCAAATCTCAGAACAGGGTTTCACACATGTGTGTCTTGTAAAAGTCTTTCAGGTTATGCTAATGTGAATTCAGGGTAAGGAAACACTGTTCTAAATCAAACAGAATGGGTTTGTTTATTTTAGGAATTCATTTGCTTCATTGAACGAGTATGTTCTATATGGGCATCTTTCATCTGGAATCAAACAAAAAATTAAGTTTCCTGTGGAAATTATAGATAGGTTCTGGGATGCCAAGCTTGTCTGTAAAACTCATTTGGCTCCAACTGAATCTAATTTGTGAATCAATACTGTATTCAGTAAGTCAGTGATGGCAAACTTTCTAGAATTTTCAATGACACAAGCAGCCCACTGTGGCACATGTGCTCTAGGTTCACCATCACTGCAGTAAAGCCTCTGTCTACAAAGTCTACTAGATAGGTTTAGGGATAGGCATCAGTCACTCCAGAAAACAGCATACCTACATTGTAAGCAGTCCTGGCCTCATCCAGCTAGTATAATTGTCCCTCAGAGACTAGTCAAGGACAACAGATACAGCATCGAGATAGCCAGCACAGAAACCCCTCTTTGTGTCTCAGCTGCTTCCAAATAATTATGGACAATAGTCATAACTGCTAAGAAATTTGCAGTTTTACCTCCCCAAGAAAGACAGCTAGAGCTGCTCCCTTAAAGTTCTCATTAATAAAAGTGCAGACAGTCCCTTATCTAGGAATTTACATGAAAGACTGGAGCTCTGCAGCTTTTCCTTTCTAACTCCTACTTCCTTTATTACATATCTATGCTTTTTCAGAATGGTGATGTCTTAATTACAGTTCTTTTTGCTGCAACAAAGTACCCAGAACTCAAAGTTAAAGGGGAAAGCTTTCTTTATCTCACAGTTTGTAGATATTTCAGCTCATAATAAGCTGACTCCAACGCGAGGTGGCACATGGCAGAAGGGGAATCATTCATGGCGACAGGAGACAACAAAAGCAACAAGGAAGAAAGAAAAGGGATGAGCCTTTTATTGTCCCTTATATTGTATGAAGGCTACCTACCCTAGGACAGGTGTAGCACTCACACCTTTAATTTCATCACTGGACTATAAGTCAGTCACAAACACTAGAATCAGATGCCTATGAAAAGCCCACTCCCCATGACTTTAGGAGGCTTCAGGGGACATCAAGATACAAATCATAACAACTGACAAAAATTGGATTGAAACAAAGCACCAGACATGGATCTTTCTTACTTGTCCAAGTCTTGAAACAAAAAGAATGTAAGAATAAAAATTATCATTTTATCTCTTAGTGCAGCAGTGCCCATTCTTTTTGGTACTGGGTACCATCTTCATGGAAGACACTATTTTCACAGGCTGGGAGGAGGAGCAGGTTGCGATGATTCAAGTGCATTATTTCTGTTTTGCGCCATATTTCTATCGTTAATGCAGTGCAGTATATAATATAATAATTATACAACTCACTATATTGCACAAGCAAGTAAGTAAATATTGGACAGGTGTTATGAAAACTGAAATTAAAGTTGGTTTCTGCCCTAAACCATGCCACCAGATACAGTGGTACAATGCAAATGTATCAACTCACTTGCCACTATAACCTCGGTGACCAAGCGAACTTTGTCACTTGCCACTCACTTTTAGAAATTTAATAGGAGTCTACAACAACTGATTTATTGTGGTCTCTGTGCAAACATGTGTCCTTATTTTCATTCCCATTTTCACCCATTCTCTGGTGTTAGCATGAGCACCTCAGCTCCACCATGGAACATCACACATTAGGGTCTCTTAAAGAGCATGGAACCTAGATCCCTTGTACCTATGGTTCACAGTGGCATTCAAGCTACTGTGAGAACTTAAAGCTACTATTGTCAGACGGGAGGTAGAGTCAGGTAATCACGTAAGCTATGGTGAGCGGCTGTACCTACAGACAAAGCTTTGATCACCTGCCACTTCTCACCTCCTGCTGTGTTTCCTGATTCCTGACAAGTCACAGATCAATCCATAACCCAGGCTTGAAGAGTAGTGGTCTATTCTGGAATAATGCTCTCTTATTTGGGGGAGTCTTACTATTACTTGAATGTCTTGTCAGTTTACAGATGAGGTAGTTTATCTTTTAGACCTATGTACCTATCAGCACTTGTCATAGAGATTTCTAAACATAGCAAACACTATGTCAAAGATCTCATTGTCAGCCTGTTTAGCTGATCCTCTGCAAATATCTCTGGAAAGTACAAAATGAGTATTTCTAAATGTGTCTGTATTTCTGATGAATTTTATTTACAATTGTATTACTTTCTGCTAAAATAAATCCCCAAATTTCCCCTTGCTTTCAAAGTGTGCCATTCATTATGCATTAAATTATGTGAGGATGATTAAGACAACACTCAGGTGGACATGAACAGTGATGGAAAAATGCTGCTGTTAGAGCAGAAACTGGTAACCCTAGCCCATGGAATCACAAGTGATCTAGTTTAGCAATTAATTCTAAGGAGAAGCAAAGTAACTATGTTGATAATATTATTTCCAATCCTATGGGAAACTTCTCCTTTAATGAGTTAGAAAACAAATAATTACATAAAATTTAAAAACAAATAAATTAATAACAATTCAAGAAAAGGAAAATGTAAAGTATTTTATGAAAAAAATAAAAACAAATTCCTCCTTAGTAGAATGTAGAAACTTAAAATTTTAGAAGGACTGTGAAATTTAGACATCCTAATAGGAGTGCCCCTTGTGAGAAGTGCTGTTTCTCCCCTTCAGGAAAAAGAAAGCAGCTACATTATCAGTAGCTGTTCGGTGTAAAATGAGATTTACAGCTCTAAATTTATTGCATCTTCCAGGAGTTGGTTTTAGCAGGGGAAAAAAATCTCCAACTGGCTGTTTTATATTTGCATAAATCAATCTGCTTAATCTGTGTTCTTGGACTGCAACATAATGATTTTTCACAACATGTACTTCTCCAGAATACACTGAATGTATGTTAAACACATAATTTTACTCTATAATTATACCTCAGATTCTCAGGGAAAAAATTCTCATGGGGATATTTCAAAGATAAGTGCAACAAATCAGCAAAAGCAGCCTGTGTAATTGTAGGTAGGATCAGCCCTCAATTGACTTTTCCAATCTTTTGTCTGTGTATGTATATACATGTGTGTGTGTGTGTGTGTGTGTGTGTGTGTGTGTGTGTGTGTTTCATGAACAATACCACAAGATTCTTTTCCCCTGTTAGGGGAAAATGATGAGGTGGGGTAGATGAAGAAAGGAAAAATAAAGACAGAAAAATATTACCATTGGCAATGCTATTATCAGTGAAGAATATACACCCTCAAATTACAGTTTGGAATCTTCAGTAGAAATGTAAGGAAAGAAATATGAATTATGTCAACATTGATGAAATATTAAAAGAATTAGGCACACGATTCATAAAGGTTATGTATCATCAGGAAACTATTATCAGAAAAATTCTATATGATAAAAATGTCTATTTAATTGAAACTCTATGGGTGTATATATTTTACTTAAGTATTATCTATACATTAAAGAAACTATAGAAAATCCCAAAGAATTGGCACTGCCTAGACAACTACGAAAATTACACACACTTCACTTTGGCTTTCTTTAGACATTTTTGTTTGTGAGAAATAATAAGGGTATGTTCAAAACTCCTTGTAACCAATTTAATTTGCAAATTTCTAAGTTTACTTTTTTCACAAAGGAAATAACACATTAGGTTAACATATTATTCTCTCTGAATTATCAATGCACTTATTATTCTACAAAACTGCTTCATAGTATTATAGCTTAAAGTCCCCCTACCATATATGTATACCATTAACACCCAGTGTCCTTAATTTTAATTTCTGAAAAACATGATATATTGTCCTCCATACTTGCTTCTCCAATATAATTACGGTGCAACTTAGTTCTACCATCTTTAACTGATAGGTGTTACAGCTATTACCTCTTACTAATGACTCTGTATACAATTGGGATCTGTGCATGCAGGACACCACCACACATGCATGGCCTGTCTTAGGGAAAGTAGAATGCAATTGATTGTCAATGTAATGAATTGTGTATGTTATGTAATTTAGCACTTCGTTTAACAAGACATGAAAAAATACAGCACAGTGGGAGCAAGATGGATGGTAGTTTTGGAGGTACTGTTATTAGGCTATTTCTGCTATTCTTATTAAAGTGGATCATAAGTCTAAGAACCTTCTAACAAGCAACTCTTTATCCATCTCCTTGTCCAGATTCTTCACATCCCACATCTCACATGAAAATGTGTAAGACTTTTATAAAGAACTGAATTATTACTACAATATTTCACTCTTTTTCAAACAATAAATAAAGAAACATTGGCTTACCAGGGTGATTTCTTTGTGAATTTGAACATAAAGTAACCAGCATGTAGAAGGCAAAAGATCTGTATTCAGGAAGGGTGGACACA